GTTCAGCTATGTAACAAGTATTAAACATTTATTTCCAACATTCCTCATATTTATTACACAATTAAAATTCACTAATATACCCAATCTGTAATAAGCACTTAAATTAAAATTTCAAGAATTAAACACGCCATCAGTCGCCATGGTGTATACATGTCACGCCCACACAACAAACTAATGCATGCATACACACTAACGCTTTAAATTAAACACGTAGTGTCTTCCCAATGAAAACGAAACAGAATTTAAAAATCGAAACACGTCAACATTATTCCACTTCACAAATTTCTGGTGAAGTTAAATAAACATTTTAAATTTATAAACGTTTTCCTATTTATTCCTTATTTATTAATTTTGTCGACTTTTATCTATATTATCAACACACGCACATACATTAGGAAAATAATAGGACAGAACTGAAGGAGACAGAATATGGCGATTGACGTTGTATTTATTTTTTTGAAGATCGTCTGTGGCAGAGAAACAAGAATTCGGAAGAGAGTTTATCAGGTGAGAAGTGTGAAAAAAAACTATTAGAAAAAGAACTTACGGTTACACCTAGATATATCAACAGTGAAATGATGAGACTTTGTTACCAATCTAGTAGTAAGCTTAAATTCATGCGGTTGAGGTTAAAGCTCATTAGAACAATTGATATGAAAATATTTATAGAAAAGACAGAGGGAAGACACCTCATGTCGGCGGGAAACTGACTGAAGTCGAGAAGCCAGGTCAGGACCGATAATATTACAGACCCTTTTTGTGATTTTTGTATATATGTGTGCGTGGATAGAGAGAACGACAGAATCAAAATAAATTAATCAAAATAATTACGCACACACTCTTTCACACTCACAAGTATATTTATGTAAGTGTTTGGAAATAATGACAAAATAAACATTAAACTTGTTGCCGTGTTGTTTGTAAAAAGAGAATGCATATGTTCTGGTATAAACTCCAGTCAACAAAATAATATATATATATATATATAATTTTGTTGACTGGAATTATATATATATAATATATATATATATATATATATATATATATATATATATATATATATATATATATATATATATATATATATAGAGAGAGAGAGAGAGAGAGAGAGATTGTAAACATCAAACTTACAACGATATCACGTTGAAATATTGGTTCCAGTAAAATCAGTAAAAGGTTAAGCAACGTCAAACCTGGTCAGTACGTAGATGGGTGACCACTTGGGAATACCAGGTGCTGTTAGCTTGGATGTGCGTGTGATGTAATGCATAATGGCTTGGGATTGTTAACCGGAGAGTCGAGTACCAATCCCAGTCGGGTTCGTTATATTCGCTTACCCGCAAATAGCCTTGGGAAAGATATGGATTCACCTCTTTTCCCCCCAGTTATGGGTTAAATAGGAAGACGTTTATCACTAAACCATTATTATAAGAAAACTTCTTACAATGTAAAACTATTTTTCTGACTTTAAATAACATGCAAAGGGTCGATAAACCGTAAAAAGAATCAATCAATTAAAAAACGTAAACACCCGAAAGAATGATTATCAATAAGTCAGGATAATTATTGGCATAATCATAATTCATTACTTCCGATAATCAACATCAAGCGATTAATTTAATCTAATTCCAAATTATTATCATCGATAAAAGAAAGAAAGAAAGAAAGAAAATAGCCATTTACCTTAATTGTCCCCCTCTTCTGCTGTTTTCGTGACAAGTCTCTTCTTACCTTGATTGAAAAGAAAAAAAAACAGCCACGGACACAATTATATTATAATAGCCAATGTCACAATTGTATTCTCATCAAACTGTATCACCATCGGTCCCATTACAGGTCGTGGTTGTAAGGTCGCTGTGCAATTGAGCACCTGGCCATCTCCCTCCACATGTCTAGATTGAAGGCCAATATCTGGGTTGAATGATAGAGGAGCATTCATTCTTGTGTAGCGTGTCCTGGGCAAGTCGACTTAATGGGACCCATTTGTCTCCACCCAGGTCAGACCACAGCCGATGTCCGCCGACTTGAGGGCTCGCCTTGGTAACGAATTTGATTCCATCAGTCGAAACCTTCACTCTGACCGCTGACTTCAGCCCTTCGTCCAACGATGCCGAGTCATCTCCGACCTGGTCATACTGCTAGTATTTCAACCCGATGTGCAGATTTAGCTCGCAGTCAGTCAAAATTCGCTGCAGTTACCGTCTGTCAGTTGAAATTCCCACTGGCACGAGCCTAAGGCCACTACACATGGAATAGCCCGAATAATTGAGTGCCAGAAGTGACAAAGTAACGGTGTATCTATAATGAACACTGCCAGTCAAACTGTCTACATAAGAACAAACAAGAGTTTAAATGAGTTACGTTGTTCATCGGCTGTTGAAAATGTTTTCTAATGTGATTTTATAACAAAGCACAATTTTCGTGAATCGCGAACAGCACGAAAGTGAAGCTTATCCAATCGGCTTTTAATTCCTAATTCCATTCTGTCATAACTTTAGTGCAATGTACCGGTTTCTGTACGATCACCGACGTAAAGCAACGTCGAGCCTGGGCAGTACCTAGATGAGTGACCGCTTGAGAATACCAGGTGCTGTAAGTTTGGATATGCGGGTGGTGTAATTGTTAATCAGAGAGTTGAGTTCCAATTCCAGCCGGGTTGGTTATATTCACTTACGCGCAAAAACCCAATGAGAAAGTTAGGAATACGCCTCTTCTCCTCCATCTATGGGTTTATTGGTAAAACTTATATTACTAAATCATTATTAACTAAAAAAAAATACTTACTATTTTAAATTACCTACAAGGGATGATAAACCGTAAAAATACGAATCAATCCATTTACTGCAATGTTCATTAGAAGTCTTCATTAATTCAATGATTTATGCTATTTCTGATGAGACAATCAAAAACTAAATGATCTTGGTCACATTTGATGAATCATCAAAATAGAGGAAATTGCAGCTTGAATTTTATCATACGATCAATAAGCAAGAGCGATGCAAAGAAAATCTAAATGTTCACTAAATACAAGGCCCGAGAGACACTCACGGTAGAGGGTTACTGAATGAGTTTGTTGTATGAGAAGTAACTGCTGATTATGAGAATACGTAGGATAGATAACGATTGATCCTAGACTTGAAGATGTTAAGGTTCTAGTGCTCGGGGAAACATTCTCTTGTGAGTCTGTTCGGCAAAGTAGAATTTCTTGGGAAGAAGCTGTTCGAATGGAACTTCCTCTTTACCAATGAAAGCCGTGAAGAATGAGAATGATTCCACCCTGTATATGTGACATAGTTGGCCTTAGTCTGTGAGGGTCTGAAATGGTGGAATTTAATGTAGCTCGTCAGAACATATGCAATAGAAATAGCCATAGAGTAGTGATGGGTTTGCAACTTTTTGTCTTCGGGAAAGGAACTGTAGTGTTGAAAATAATTCGTCACCCACAAGACACATTTGAACGTAGTTCAGTTAGGCGCTTTTGAACCCTGTAAAGCCTGGAAAGTGAGAATATAGAGTAGCTCCAACCCAGATATTTTTAATCATTTTACTACAAGGAAGGCGTTAAAAGCTACTACGATGCAAGGGGTTACTGAGAGTGAAAGAAACGGAGGAGGTAATGAAAGGTTGTGATTGATGTTGCATTAAAATTTTTGAAGATCGTAGTTGACAAGAAAGCAAGAAGCTGGAACAGAATTCCACATGCAAGAAATGCGAGAGAAGAAACTATTAGCATAGAACTTACGGTTACAACTTGCACTTTCAACAGTGATATTGTAAGACCAAGCTGCTAATCTAGTACTGCACTTAAAATCACAAATTCATTTAAATTCATGCAATGTCAATCGTTAACTTTTGCCTTCTTAATTCATGTTCTTTTATTGTTCTCTCTCCTTAATAAAGCATTTGTTTTCTCATATCCTTTCACAATCACGTGAATTTATTGCCTTGCTTGGAGTGAAATGGTTAAAAATATGTACGATATATATATATATATATATATATATATATATATATATATATATATATATATATATATATAAAAGAAAGAAAGTGCATCAGCATTGATTTGGTATCCATACATTGTAACGTAAAACTAATGCTGGTGATATAGTGGGGTATTTCTTGGGTTCGTTTTAGTGATGTCTCTGTCTCGAAATCGTGTTTAATCTCAAGGATAATTTACAGTAATAGTTATAGGTATATGATTATTGGCTAAGGCTTATTTGTGGAATTTATGATGCAACATTCAATCATCCACCTTCTTCCTTCATCAAACTCAGCTTGCTGATCCTGTTTTCAGTATTGACAACTCTTATACGGCGCGGAAACTGGATTCGGCGAGTCGAGTTCAAATTCTGAGTCTGTTGCGCTCAATTCGATAAAATGCTTTTGGTGAAGGCATAAAGCTGTCTTCTCCCTCCCTAAGTTAAATAGCAAGGCACACTGGTGTTTTTTTTTTGCTTTGGGTGGTAAACAATCTAGAACAACAAACTCTGAATTCAAAACGAACATCAAGAAGTTATGAGCTTTCTCAGGCTATCTTGCCCTAGACACACCCACTGCTGCTACGGTTACAATAAATGTGGTGCACCCACGACCCTAATAGATTACGGGTCCCGTGATTAATCGCGATTGAGCCGTTATGTAAAACAAATAAGCAAACAAACAAAAAACCTATCGCCTTCATTTCAGTATAAAAAACACACACTCAGGTAAACTAGTCTACGGATCTGTGAAGCAAATGTAGGCTGTAAAAAACCTTCATGATGAATTGCTAACATAGTTGGTGGATCATATGATTATTTATGTAAGTGGTCACGGTTATTGCACAAATCTGTCTTTTTACCGGTTTCCCTGAGAAGCCAGCCACACTTGCACAGAATACCCTATTACCTGACACATGACTAACGACATTTAATTAATTGTTGGCACATTGATCACAATAAAGAAATGGTCATTATCTACTTTAATCGATTCACTTCCTCCATCATCCTTATCATGGTTTCTGCTCCTTCTCTCAACAAACCGACTCGAAACATAACCCATCCAATCATCTACCCTTTCCAGTCATCAAACATACCCCACTTCCATTTTCCGATTTCGCAGACAACCATCAATCATATTTTCTTTGGTGCTGTCAGAAAATTTTATATCATAGCAATCGTCTTCAAACCTTTCCATTGAAAGGGCAAATGCGTACAGATGACTAGTACATGAGAAGGAAATCAGGGAAACGGTTTCAATCCTAGTTGGCAGTCTTTAGTATTATTTACTACTAATAACTTTGAATAGGTGTTAGGAACTTCCAGGTTTACGGCACGGGAAATAGAATGAACAGACCGGGTTCAAACTCCAATAAGGAAACTGTGATCTCTTCGCACAAACGACCTCGGGGAAGGTGTGAATCCACTTTGTTCCTTTTCCAGTTATGGGTAAATAGCTGGTCAGTTGGAAACTTTGAAGCCTTTAAGGAAGTTAGGTTTGCGACCTACGCCATAAAAAAATTATTTGCTACTGTAACAATAGTGATAGCCTCATTTGGTTTTGCAATAACCAAATACTCCTAAAGGAGTCTACGGGAAACACACACGCACATTAAGGAATCATTAAGCATAAAGTGGAATAATTCTTGGCTTTAGGATTGTATAATTGTTTCTGAATCTCTTGTGAAATGTCTTAGAGCATTCCAATGGTCGTGGAGAAGTCAGTCTGCTAGCAGCAAGTTATTGATAATGATGATTTACTTTATTAATTATTTACCAGTGTCTATCGCATGTAGAATATGACAGGCGGTTATTTCCAATGTAGTCTTTGCTTTTTTTGTTTAAAGAAAAAGGATTTGTGGCACTGCGGTATGAGAACCCGACATAAGTAAATGTATACGTGTTTTAATCTGTGTACTTATATAGAGAGGAAGTGTATGTGTATGTTCATGCGTGTGTGTGAGACTTTTGTATTGGTCGCACCTGGAAAAGACTTAATATTTGACTATGAATCTAACGCGCACGAACAGAAGAACCCCTCCCTTGCCGTTTATTGTTGTTAAAAAAAGGAAAGAGTTTCTTGGGTTTGTGAATTGGCATATACGTGGTTGGATTTTGAAGAAATTTGACATATATATATATATATATATATATATATATATATATATATATATATATATATAGGGTGCGATGGATAAATTATCGTCTAAATTATGACATCTAATTTTAACAGATATATATATATACCAAAATTGCACAAAATATCTTGAAATACTAAAGAGCAAATTTATTCATAAAACGACCTCAAGACGTCTTCAGAATCTCCAGCTACTCTTCTAGTCGGTCTCTTTGTTTAAGTTGGTGAATGCTGCCATAATCCTTGACTTCAGTTCATCTTGGATATTACAAAAAAATTTGTTGGTCTTTTGCTCAACTGCGCCCCACGCAGAATAATCAAGGGGGTTGCAGTCTGGGAAGTAAGGTGGCCAGATGTAAATGGCGATGTGGTCGCAGAAATTGTCTGTCTGTCATGAATGGTTACTCCTGCTTGTGTAGAATGGGGCAGAATGCTGTTGTCAGACATAGGATCTTCCAGCAGCTACCCTCTTCACCCAGGACAGCACTACCTCCTCAAGACACTTGATGTAGGTCTCCGTGTTTAGTTTAAGGTCCCGTGGGAAGATGAATGGAAGCATAACCTCGTCAACATTGGTGATCACTCCAAACACCATGATGTTGACTGGATATTTAATTTTCATCACTCACAGAAAGCCAACAGTTATTCTGTGTGTTCACCAACTTATCCTGGCAGATTTTTTCCCATCTAAGAAAAACCAAAGCATGTTCGGTTGGAGGGGATACTTGAGTTTGTCCAAGAGCTTCGTAGCGCTGTCTTTCCACTTGTGCTTCATGGCTTGGGATAAAAGATAGCCCTTTCTCATCTTGTATGAGAAATAACGAATGTATTCATGCACTAACTGCCTGATAAGAAACACTCTTGTGTTCCTGGCTATGAACCTGCTTTATCCGAGCTTCTCTACCCTCGTAATCACCATTGGATTTATCAAACTCTTTCTGAATCATCTGCATTGTCCTCAAATTGACATCCAAATTCTCTTAAATGTTCGTATTGGTGCGTCCGGCGCGAATGCCAAGCAGTACAGCATGCCGTTTCCAAATTTCTGGCTCCTTTTCTCACAGACGGTGCCCAAAATGACCGTACTATAATGTGAAGTCGACAAAATCAAAAGAAAACATGATAAAAGTTTGTCATCGGAATGGATATTTGGATACAGAGCGCGAAGGCGTCCATATAACCACCCATTTGACGCTGGCGAAAATCTCGTTGATAAAGTCCAGGTGACATTCGGTTAAGATAGAGATTAAGGACCACACTACGAGTCGTAGAGGTCTGGTGTCAGGAAGAGAAAGAAAGGAAAAAAAAAAGGAAGATAATTTTTTTCCTTTGAGCGATAATTGTAAACACCCACGCTGCTGAGCGTTCATTGGATGAATGGTGGCGTGAGCGGTAGGCGAAGGTAAACATATCAGAAGGAGGGGAGGCCTGTTGACGCCTCTGAGGGGATTGGTGTGAGATACCACTATGAGAAAG